AAAACCATACAAAATTCTCCTCACTTTAATGGAGTAAAACAGTCAAATTATTCCACCAATAAATATTTGACCCTCTAACAGACTTTTGTTTTTGTCCTGAACAGATGAGGCCAAAGCTGACAGACACCCTGTGACACAACCCAGGACCCATTACTGAAGGTTCACCACGGAACACCAACTCCTAATCTAACTCAGAGCCGCTTCTCTCCAAGCCAAAGACAAGCATCTACAATTCTGGGAATTTTCCAGGAGGCAGTACTGGTATCCACTAGCACAACCCTCTTTCTCTCCAGCATCTAAACTAAGAACTCTGGCTAATAGCATGAGCAGGCTTTGCGGAAGTTGGGGGGCCATTTACCAATATACAAACACAGAAACTTGCTGGGTCCCAACACAAGCACAGGTAATGATTTTGTAATGTTAGTCAACCAGAGAGAATCTAGAGTGAAAGGGAGCTAACAATGCAATCTCTCTTGTTCCGACATCACACCCATTCTGCAGTTGCAAAAACTGAGCCTGGCTGTAGCTAAGCAACTTCTCTAACTGTTACACCTCCTGTATCACCACCTCCCTTGGCTATCAAGAGTATCATGAATACTTGTGATGTCCTGTCACAGTACTTATCATATCTGTTATTACTCTCTGTGTGTCTGTTACTAAGTTATGACCTCTTTGAAAAGTAGAAGTTGTCCTATCCTCCTCAATAAATATCTGTTAAGCAACCGTTGCCATTAGTATTCTCACTTTTTGATTGAACAAGTGTCTACCAAGTATTAAACATCTACTCGGTGCCAGGCACACTGTTAGGTACCTGGGACACATGACAAAGAAGACAAACATCATCAGACCCTCATGGAATGCACACACAAAAGACAGAACTTGAAGAGTTTGGGGGAAGAAACACAGAATTCGGTGGGAGCTGGGGGTGGGTGGGCAGTGGTCAAATTTAGTTCTAGGGTCAAGTACAGATTTCGGGAGAAAGTGACTCTTTGGCTGAGAAGTGATGGATAAGGAGTCTGCAGTATGGGCGGTGGGCAGAGAGAGGAAGAAAAATGAAAACAGCACAGGTAAAGGCCTCAGGTGGAAAAACCCAACTAAGGACTGGAGATCAGCGGGCCTTCTATCAGGCCCCAGATGTATGTTCTAGGCCCCAGATGTCAAAATACAGATATGTGCTTCTTCAATATAAGTGATTGTGAATTTAATAAACAGAAAATAGCAGACTTTAAAACGGGAAATAATCATCTTTCCAGTTCCTCATTAGCTTCTCAGAGGTTAAAAAAACAAAAAAAGTGGTGTAGTGGTTCTTAATCCTGACTTCATATTAGAAACCCCTAAGAGTTAAAAAAAAAAAAAAAAAAAAAATCTGAGGCCGATGGTTGACCCCAGACCAACTAACCAGAATCTCTGAGTGTAGGGTCCAAGCATCAGGATTTTCCAACAGTCAAAAGTGATGACCACCGACCTAGTGGATGGCAACTTCAAAAGCTAAGGTGCGCTGCACTCAAGAACTGTTCCCTCAATCTCCTCCATACATGTCCCCCACCTCCACCTTCCCACTGGCTGACTTCCTCTTGTCATTCAAATCTTAGCCTAACCTTGACTCCTCAGAGAGGCCCCCCAGACCACCCAATCCAAAGCAGCCACACCCAGCTAAAGTCTCCACATCACACAGCACATACCCCTATCTGACATTAACTTATTAGATCCTCCACCAGAATGTGTTTCTGGGTCTTGCTGTATTTCCAGTAGGAGCTCAATAAATATTTGATGAACGAAGGAAGAAAGTAAGCCAGAAAGCAAGCAGGCCTGGGGGTACCACTCATGCAACTGGAATAAAAAAAAGTAATGCTCTGAAGCTATAATTCTGGGGGATTTAGGTTGGATACGACTAAGCCAGATTAAACAGCATGGAGGACATTTTGAAAAACCTTAACCAAAAACGAGATACGGGCCAGACTTTCAGTTTCCAAGCCAAACTCTACCTAGGGAGAAGACTAAAGAACATCAAATATTGAGGCTGGATTAGAGTCAACAAAGGTGTGAGTTCGACGTCTCATGAAGAGGAAGGGAATGACGAATGTTCAACATTTCCACTAACCACAGGAAAAGAAGAAATGGCTTAAAATATAGAACAACTCAGAATTTAGCTTAGGCATGAGGAAAAGTGCGCCGAGGGAAATGTGGGGATCTGAGAGTGAGTGGCCGTTAAAGATGCTGAGTTACAAACAAGATCCCTGCAAGTTCCTAAGACTGGTATAAAAATACTTCTGTGTAGGATGGCTCACACACAAGTATTACATAAAGGAAGATGAATATATAAGGTAGCCAGTTTGAGTCCCATAATTGTATTAAAATATCTTGAGTACTTGAATTTCCTGCAGTGAACTAATTTAGAGTTGTTGCTGGGTGCTGTCGAGTCAATTTTGACTCATAGTGACCCCATGTGACAGAGTAGAACTGCTCCATAGAGTTTTCTAGGCCGTAATCTTTCTGGGAGCAGACTGACAGGTCATTCTCCTGTGGAGCTGCTGGGTGGGTTCGAACCACCAACTTTTTGGTTAGCAGCTGAGCACTTAACCACTGCGCCATCGGGTCTCTTTAATTTGGAGCTAGTATCGCTATGAGTCGGAATCGACTCAACAGCAATGGGTTTGGTTTTGGTTTTTTATCACCGAAACTGGAGCCCTGGTGGCACAGTGGTTAAGAGCTCACTGCTAACCAAAAGGCTGGCAGTTTGAGTCCACCAGCCACTCTTTAGAAACCTTCTGAGACAGTTCTATTCTGTCCTATACCGTTGCTATGAGTCAGAATTGACTCGATGGCAACGGGTTTTGGTTTTATCATTGAAATTAGCTAGAAGGAGAAAATACTGGTAAAAACAGTACCAAGTAAATATTTATGGTGAAACAAATGTGTTTATGCTCTTTCCTTCTGCATAAAACATATATTTAAGCCTATCAAGTAAGTTAATAATTCAGGCCAAATTCAAAAGTTATCTATAGTGCCACTTAAACATGAGCTCAAAGGAGAACCTCCAAAGGCCAGCAGGAAACCTCAACCAGACCATCTGGGTTGTCAACAGAAAAGCAGTAGACAGCATGTCAGCATCCTTCCCTCAGAGTCAGGTCTCCTTTTAGACTCCACCATTTCTGACAGTGGAGTCACCACCTCCCCAGCCAGTTAGTACTTAACCTCAAAGCTCTGGAATCATTCTTGATTAATCACCAAATCCTGTGGATCATTTCTTTGTGAGAAAAACACAGGAGGGGGATTTACAGACTACAGAAATTTAAGAGACACAATTGCACTGCACAGACCTTGTTTGGGTCCTAATTTAAATGAATCAATTGTAAAAAGGATTATGATACAATTGGGGAGGTATGAATATTGACTAGATAACAGAAATATTAGAAATACTGCTAATACTTTTTAGGTGTGATGATGGCACTGTCATGTTTTCAAAGTGCCTTTATTTTTTAGAAATACATACCAAAACATTTACAGATGAAATGATATCTTGGATATGTTCCAAAAGAATTCAAAAAGAGGTGGAAGTGGGATGAGAGAGAAGACTAAATAAGATGTGCTGTGAATTGTGGCAGCTGGCAATGGGTACACAGGGGTTCAATTACACTTTAGTCTTCAGTTTGAAGTTTTAAAATTCTCATAATTAAAAAAAAGTCCTATTTATACATATGGACACATCTATATGTTTTGATTTACACATGCTGTGCTCTTGGCTTTAAAACCATCAATGACTCCCAACTGCCTAAACGCCTTAGAGTAGCTTTCAAGGCCCATCTGAGTCCTCTGGTCACCCTTTTTTCTCATCATGGGCACTGTCACTTATGAATCCTCACTTGTAATGCTCTTTTCCCATGAATGTGCGTCCCAAACACACCTACTCTTTCCTTGGGCCACGGCTTCCTTTTGGATAAATCCAATCTCTTTTATAAACCCTTCCTCTTCCACCCAGCGTGTAGTAAACTCAAACTCCTCTATACCACTTACCAGACCACAATACTGATATATTTTTAAAATGTAAAATGCCCCAATCTTCACATAGGTCACAAGTCTGTTCAGTGGAAGATTCATGGTTTCATCTTTTTTGCATCGTCAGATCTTTGCTCTAAGTGCCGCAGGTGGTGTTTCGTTACTGTTACGACGGTGGGGGGAGTGCGGGGGGTCTGTTTCTCACTGCTCTATACTTTCCAGAGTCTTTACAGTGGGCGATAAATACTTAGAAAACATTAAAGAACTTCATTAAGGAGAGTCATAAACCTTTTTTAAAGGGAAATTCTTATATTTAAATCTCACAGTAATATGATGGCTTACAAGAACAATGACAGCAGTGGTACTCATTACAGAAAGCTTAAAGGCAATAAAGACATTTCCTTATTAACCCATTTGTCCCTCCTTAAAAGTTCCAAATCCTGTGCCCTGAGATAAAAATTTTAAGACTCTTTTTTTTCTATAATGAAAACCTTACAAACATTTGCAAATAGTGTATCACTGGAAGTATCTCACCGCTGCGTACACGGACCTCAGGTTTCCTGGACTGTGACGGGCACAAAGGAAGCAAGGCTAGTACCAAATGGAGGGAGGAAGAAGGGGGCTGGGGGGTGGGGATTAGGATGCACAGACAGAAGGTAGATTTCCTAGCGGGCTTCCTGCAGTTACCCAGGAACCTGAGGGAAGCAGGTCCTATCAAAAGTTCTAGACTATCTGAGGTTTATATATCATCATTTAGTTTCTAGCAATTAATCTGTCAAACACATATTTTTTAAGCGCCTATGTGTCAGGCATTGTTCCAGACAATGAAGATATAAGGTTCTACGAGGAGTTTAAGACACATGTAGAATTGATAATAATTATGATCTACATTAGAAATGTCCAAGCAAGTTAAGCAGGTATGCTAAAGAACTACAGAACAGCAAAGCACTAATCGTCATCATTTGAATTCACAGTAGACATGTGTGAAATAAAATCAGCTTTACCTTGTATTTCATTTTGGGACATGAATGAATGTAGAAACCCATATAATAATAACTGAGTTGAGACGCTTTCTCATGAAGTTGCTTAGTGAAAGCAATTTCTCTGCCAAAGGAAAAGAAAAAACAAAAGACAAAGTTACATTTAATTCTGTTTTCAATATTCAAATAACTCTATAATCTTATGACAAATATTTGATGAAATCTGATATTAGGCTATCAAAAAATCCAAGTTTTGAAAGAAAAACAATTTTAAAAACACCGTAAGAGGATTTTTACTAAAGAGATACCAATGAAACTCTAAATTACTTTGAGCAAATGCATCCAAGTTCCAGGTTTTACACTTTATCGGGCCAAGCAGCTGATCTAAAATTCAAATAGCATAAAAGTAAAGGCATCTACTTAGTACAGTTTCTTGCTATTATTCATTATGCCCTGGAGTTCTCAAAGAATCTGGGCATACTAGGTTAAAAACAGTACAGTAAACTTTGGAAAACAAAAAATTACTTCAGGAATAAACTATCTTTATTACAGAATAATTAGTATCCTGACCATTTACATGCAAACACTTTCAGTGTATACGATGCATACCTCCTTCCTATATCAAACTGCAACTGTAAAATATTTTTTATTCCTAAAACTAGGGAGGGGAAAAACTATGGTCTCTCACCATTTTCTCTATTTGTTGGCACAGGTAAGGATTGCTTGAACAAAGATCATCAGCATCTTCACTGCAATGTCTATGCTTGGTGTTAATTTGTACCCAGATACATCTGGGCACATAATTTCCTCCTACTAGCCCAGGTGACTGGTTATTTGACAGTTCTAAGCAAAACGTCGATACATTTCTAAAGTATGAGGAAAATTGTTTGCTTTGTTTTTTCTTTGCTTGTTTTTTTGTGTTTGTTTCTTGAAGTTTTTCTTTCCTTTCTATTTTTTTTCCCCTTTTGGTAGCAACGGATGCTTGAAATTCAAGGAGAAATTTTTCTTTTACTGAATATTCTGTACATTTTGTAGTTTCAAATTTAAATCTTTGAAAGGTTGCTGCCCTAAGAATTCATCTTTAAAATAAAAATATTCCTAAATTCAAGCAGACTAAACAATATTAGGCTATCACAGAATAAATCCTACTACTCCTAGAACTGATCCACTCCCAAGGTTCCAACTGGGGAACAAGTGCACTGATCCAAACAAACACAGGACCATCCAACTCTAACAAAAAGCCCTAGCCGCAATGGTGCTCCTTCCCCAGGTCCTGCCTATCTCAGTTAATTCTATCACTGATCCTCTAGCTATTCATGCCCAAAACCTATGCCAAGCCAAGCCCATTGCCATCGAGTCGATTCTGATTCACAGCAACCCTACAGGACAGAGCAGAACTGTCCCACAGGGTTTATGAGTCATCCTTAATTGCTCCTCTTTCTGTCACTCCCATGCCCAATCCACCACTAAGTTCTTCTGGCTCTGCCTCCAAAATCTACTATGAACATGATCCCTTCTTATGACGACCACCTCAAAAACTACCAACTATAATAGCATCCAAACTGGTTCTCCTGTTTCCATTCTTGCCCCTCCATAATCCCCCCGGAGCAGTCTAAGCCGTCTCCTCCAATTAGATTGGGTAACCTTCCCACATCCCCCTCGTTGGGTTGTATCACTCTAGAATAAAATCCAAGCTCCCAACAAGTCCTGCTCCATCTGCCCCCTCCTCCTCACCAATCAATGCCACCTGCTTCTCTGCCTTCCTTGTGTAACACTCTCTGCTTCCTATGACTTCATCCCTGAAACCTTCTTTCTGTTTTTTCCAACATGTTAAAGAATGCCCTGCCTCACGGCACTTGGACTTCCACACCTTTACCTGGACTTCTACCCTCAGATTTTTACAAGATTGGCTTTTTCTTTCTTCTCTCCCCAAATGCCATCTATTCAAACAGTTGCTTCCTGACCACCCTATAAAAACCAGGCCCCATGCCTATCACCACTGATTTTATTTTCGTTAACAGCTCTATGGAGTATCTAAAATTATGTCGCTGGTTTTCTAATTTACTGTCTGCTTTGACAAAGCTGGAGCCCTAGTGGCACAGTGGTTAAAAGCCTGGTTGCCAACCAAAAGGTTGGCAGTTGGAATCCACCACCTGCTTCTTGGAAACCCTCTGGGGCAGTTCTGCTCTGCCCTATAGGGTTGCTATGAGTCGGAATCAACACGATGGCAACAGGTTTGGGTTTGGGTGGACAAAGCTGGAAACACTATCTGTCTTATTTGCTTCTATGAACAGTGCCAGGATCCATAGATTGTGCTCAATAAATATTTATTAAATTAATTACATTGCTAAAATTCGCCTTGCTAAAATATGTAAAGAAAAGCCATGGTTGTAATCCCCAATTCAAATACTTTTTTAACCTGCAGATGAGATTACACAAAAATGTAAAAACACAAAACTCTACATTGATTGTAAGACTACTGAAGACACTGAGTACAAACTACTCAACAGGTTTCACTGAAATACATTGAAATCAGTGAAGGAACTGGCGACTCGTAACCTACTCGCCCCGATTCTGCGTCAAAAGGTCAGGCTCCTGGCTGCCTTTCCTCTTCTACAGACTCAGCAACTCACATTCCCAAGAGCAGGGAGAGGAAGTGAGCAGACCGCACTGCAGGGGCCATCTCCCCACACTCAACCAGCAACAGCTCTCCTGCTATCAGGCTCCTCTGCTACCACCTCAAAGTTCTCCAGAGCCGGGATTTTCGAAAGATATATACCAAGTGATAAACAGAACGCTTTCTAATTTTGCTGGGAACTGATTATTTACTGCTTCAAATGTAGCAGGATTTCTAAACCATCTCTTAGTTTATTGAGCCATGAAATAATATTTCATACAGAGGCTGGGTTTATTATATAGGAAATAAATATCCCTCTTAACATTTATCTGGGAAGTCTAGAAAAACCTATCGCTACACAGTGGAAAGTGAAAGATTTAAAAATAAGACAAGAAAGAAAACGGCAGTAATTTCAAAGTACTGACTGATTCGGATACAAAGCAAATGCATCTTTTCTGAAATAAATATAAACTTTGAAAATTACATAATTTGAATAACTGCAAACTTTTAAAATTATAAAATGTGAATGCTTTAAATTATCTGTTCCAATTTCAGTGAGATCATCAAGAGCCATGGATGCTTTTGAATTACTTTATACAAACAATGCAATTAAATACATAAGAAAAATAAAAGATCATTACAGACCTCAGTTAAAAACACTGTATAACTGTGAATTTATTATAATTTGGTATTAAGAGTCAGATTGAAAATACCCATATATCTAGACCTTCTTTACAGAGTGGGCACTGAAACACACAAAAAAAAATCAATTAGGGACCAGACTGTTTTTTCAAATAAAATTGCTGATTAAAGAGGCACATCAACACTTCTACTTTGATAATTAAGAAAAAGACACAAACACAATAAATAAAAGAAATAATCTGGAAGTACATTTTATCATCACTTGAAAAATGTGACCATTAGACACAAAAAGTGGAAAATTTAAAGAGAAAAAATGACACATGATAAAGAGGGGGAGAAAGAGCCAAATGAAAGAAAAATAACTACCCACCTTCCTTCCCTTCTCTACCAATATACACACACAAACAAGCAGGAATAAAAATAACCTTGTTGCTGTCGAGGACTCTGACGCATAGCGACCCTACAGGACACAGTAAAACTGCCCCACAGGGTTTCCAAGGCTATAAATCTTTATAGCAGCAGACTGCCACATCTTTCTCCGGCAGAGCGGCTGGTGGGTTTGAACCACTGACCTTTCAGTTAGCAGCTGAGGGCTTAACCACTGTACCACCAGAGCTCCATTAAAAAAAAAAAAAAAAAAAACCCACTGCTGTCAGGTTGATTCCTACTCATAGGGAACCTACAGGACAGAGTAGAACTGGCCCTTAAAGTCTTCAAGGCTGTAAATATTTACGGAAGCAGATTGCCACATCTTTCTCCCACAGAGCAGCTAGTGAGTTCAAACCGCCGACCTTTCAGTTAGCAGCCCAGTGCTTTAACCACTGCACCACCAGGGCTCCTTAGGGCTCCATTAGGAATAAAAATAGAGACAAATATTGTCATGAAGTAAAACCCTGTCATTGCACCATCAGGATGATGCACCTAAACAGTTTAGTGTCGCGTTGCATATATCTGTAGCCATAGACCTAAAAGGGGAATCATTTTTTTTTGACGAAGGTCAGAGTCAAGCGGACAGCCAGGTGCCACCAGCCCTGCTCTGTACACTCACGAACCAAACTAAACCCAATGCCGTCGAGTGGATTCCGACTCATAGCAACCCTACAGGACAGAGGAGAACTGCCCCACAGGGTTTCCAAGGAGCGCCTGGTGGATTCGAACAGCCAACCTTTCGTTAGCAGCCGTAGCTCTTAGCCACTACACCACCACTATTTCTTCCAATGGGCTAATATTGCTTTAATTCATTTCCATTAGATTCATTTAACTTTTAATTAATAATGAAAAAACACATGTGACAGTGATGACACAAAAAAGAACATAAATAACACTGAAGAAACATAAGCTCTGACAGGTGAGCTTATAAATGAAAAGCTTAACAACAACAGCATCATACAAATACGATGACGTCTCATACGCTGCACTAGATGGTTACCTTAAAAAGACAGAGAATTATCACCAGACATTGGCATCACCTGTAAAGGTGGAACCTCTGAGTATCAATATGTAACTAAAAGACTATTCCAGTAATAAATCATTAGAATGTACTACCCAACAGCATTCCTACTGTTACTAATGAAATACAATCAAATGAGGAATGACTTGAAGTTCTATATGACCCATTACACCTGCCAAAAGCAATCTTACCGCAGTGCAGAGTAGACGCCCAAAGACAGAAAGGAATAATCAGGATCATAGTACAAATACACAGAAGACACGCAGTGCGGAAGGATATCAATCACACCCACGGCAATGATCTTCCCATCGAGCCAGTACTGCTGGTGAAAGGAGCCGTAACCACAGTCCGGCCCGTCCGGAGGGTTCTCTGCCTGTGAAAGGTAGACACACAAACACCAACAGTTTGACATGTGTCGCTTTATATTAAAAATCTTAAAAAATTTGTCTGACAGAAGACTGGAGAAACCCCGAGAGTCTAGCCTCCAGACACCCTTTTAACTCAGTACTGAAGTCACTGCTGAGGTTCACCATTCAGCCCAACATTAGACAGGCTCCGAAAACAAACAGTAATACACGTAGCTCAACCTCGTACGTGAGACTGAATGGGAACACCAGCCCGGGGGCAAGGACGAGAAGGCAGGAGGGGACAGGAAAGCTGGATGAATGAAAATGGGGAACCCAAGGTCGAGAAGGGGAGAGTGTTGACACATGGCAGGGTTGGCAACCAATGTCACAAAACAATACGTCTATTAAATGTCTAATGAGAAACTAAACTGCTCTGTAAACCTTCATCTAAAGCTACAATAAAAACATTACAATAAAAAAAATAGTTAAAAATCATTACAGTTGTATTTTCCTCAGGTTAGTAGGTCCTAAAATTTCCTTTGTTGCCATCATCCTCCCTGGTCAAACTCTATGTTAAGTTACAAAACTTTTTCTTGTAGAAACACTGACCCAACGAATGAAAAGACAAATAACTTCTTTTTTTCTTCCAACTCACTCGTTTTCAAGTTGGTCAGTAGAGAATATAATATTTTATAGAAGTAACTATTGAACTGTATTTTTCTGTTCCACACAAAGGCTAGGAAGTAAATGGTGTATGAGAGAAAGCTGGAGAACATAAAAGGAGAGGGCTGGGTGACAACGCAGAGCTGCCCACATACTTCTGCTCAGGCCAGCTCTGTGACCGCCCCAGCCTGATTAGGGCACAGGAGTTTCTTCTAGGTAAGCGTTGCTATACAAGTACAAAGGCCTCCTGATCTGTCATGTAGAGAGCTTAGAAGTCATCATTCTCGTCCTCATACTAGAAAAAAGCCAAAAAACTAAAAATCAACAACTCTTCTTAAATCCATCAAGAACGGAGGTCACAGGGTAAACCAGCACCCTGAACACTGGAGAGACAGGCGGGCTGATGTGGAGAATCACAGCTTACCAGGGGTGACACCATCGCACTGGACCAGGTAGGAATACTTAAAGGGTAATTAACTCCTTGCTGGAGGGGGACTAGCTTCAGAAAGAAAGAAGCATCACTCCCCACTCCTTAAGTGTGGACTGCCACAATGACCTCCTTGCAAAGAGGACAATATGGAAAGCGGGAGAAACAGTAACTCTGCAGTGGAGGAACTGGACAACACCACTTCAGCCAGGTGGTCAAGGTCAACAACAACGGAAGCACAGGTCTGCTAAGGTGCTAGAGGTATCAGTGACTTCTAAAAGTTCCACTGCTGTTGTTAAAACGTTGTCTGAGGAATAAATACATCTTTAAACTTTTAGGGGCTTACACAAACTGTAAAAAACTATGTCAAAAACCAGCTTTAGCATTCACTGTTACATACGGCATTAATCTTAACCAACAGTCATTGCTGCTTCCGTAGAAGCAGTCTGGAGAGCAGAGCAGGTGACAAACAGAAGCCTCGACCAAAAGGAAACAGGAAAGGATATCGGCCTGTTACGACAGCAACACCTGAACTGTCACCAGTACTTCAAGCTGCTCACAGACTGGAAGCCTGATCGCCTGTCTCAGAACTTAGACTGCTCCAACTATGTAATAAGAAACAAACAAATTTGTGTATGTTACTGAATTTTTTATGAAGCCATCTTTTAAACGTAAGCTCTGAGGCTTAGAGGAATGAAGCTCTCCATTGTTCAAAATAATCACGCAGGAAAGCAAACCCTCCAGTGGCACGGAGACAGTGAAAGGCTGCCGGCTCGTTAGATGCAAGGAGGGGAGCCTGTCAAATGTCAGGAAACCTCCAAGTCAGGAGCTAACCAGATGACTTTGAAATGAATCTGAACTCTTCCATGATTTCACCTTCGTGCGTCGTTCCGGGACTCGGTAAGTCTAATGTGTGTTCATTCATTCATTCGAAAATGCACTTATCAAGGACACAGTCAAAAGGAATCAATAAGCACATTCTCAATAAATAACCAGTACATTCTATTAGCCCTAAATAGAAATCAGTCCTACTTGTACCAGCTTGAGATGTATTTTCAAACTGCAATTACCTTTCCAGTTTCCAATTTTTCTCCTTCCTCTCATTCCCCGGCCCTCCCACCTGATAACCTGGCTCCGTTTACTTCCCTGGCTTGTTCTGGTGACTCTACGCACAGCCAATCTGTCCTGCAATAGGCATTGTTCCCAGCACTCAATTCACGTGGAATCTAGGGCCTTCCCTGTTTCAAAGCACTTTGTAGAGATTGGGCTGCCTCATAACTACCAAAAACCAAACCCACTGCTGTCGAGTCAATTCTGACTCACAGCGACCCTATAGGACAAAGAACTGTCCCAAAGGGTTTCCAAGGAGTGGCTGTGGAGTCGAACCGCCAACCTTTTGGTTAGCAGCCGAGCTCTTAACCACTGCGCCACCAGGGCTCTGCCTTATAACTAAGCAGCAAGGAATAAACTGTATCAACCATCCACTGACCGCCATCATTTCACAGGTAAGGAAACCTGAAGTCCTCAGGAATCAACTGATGAAGCAGTGCAAAGGTCACAAATCCAGCAAGTTATACACTGACTCACAAACTAGCCTCCTACCCCCAGGATCAATGGCATATTTATGCTACTTATAAGAAAATCAGCTTGTCAACCATTTAAATAAATTCCCTTTTCAAAAAATTCCTAGTATATCCAAGTCAGTAAATATAGCAACATTAAAGACAATGTTTCAGTGCATTTTTTTTTTTCCTGAAAACTATCTTTGCTGCACTCCCTTTCTGTCCATCATATCTTGTTGGCAATTAAAATACGAACAATTTCGTTTTCTCCCTTGTGGGACCCTCAATGACCTAATCAAAGAAACCAGGTTTCAAAATGGAAGATGATCCAGGTAAAGGCAAGTGAGAAACTATTTTCTAAAAGTGCATCTGGTCATCTCAGCACTGGTTAATTGTTGATTAGCTATGACTGCTGTTCTCACCTTGGCCCCTGGTGGTACAGGGGTTAAGAGCTAGGCTGCTAACCAAAAGGTTGGCAGTTCAAATCCACCAGCTGCTCCTTGGAAACCCTATGGGGCAGTTCTACTATGTCCTATAGGGTCACTACAAGTTGGAATCGACTCACCGACAATGGGCTTGGTTTTTTGGTTTTTGATCTCAGTTTAGTAAGTCAATTAACACATTAAAAGTTTCTCAACAGGTATGCTGAGGATGGGCTGGAGGTGAACCCGTGATACTGATTCCCTCTGCCCTCCTTGCATGGGGAGCAGCCAGAGCCCCACATCACTCACCTATGGCTGGGAAACTCTAAAACAAACTCAGTGCCTATCACGTTGCCAATAGCACAGATCAAACTGATGTGACTAACATGTCTGACGTATGTCTAAGGACATACACACATCTGTTTCAGTTCTACCCTTCCAAATGACATGCACGGCCGTAATAGGGTTATTCTTCCCTTAAAAGCAATCCCTTGCTTCAAATTATTTAAACACTTTAAAACATGGAAAGAATATAGGAGTTTGAGGAACAGAAACAAGGAGATAAAAGTATAAGTACAATAACAATAATCAAATCTGTGAAATTGGAAATCAGAACTCTTGGTGTGGCTCTCCATTCATTCACTGACATCCCTGAAGCCCAGACTCACTGAACTTTATCGGCCATATGCTTCCCTACACTATTATTTGGATACCTGTTGATTAAAAATGTGTTCTGGAATAGCAACTAGAAACTATCTCTATTGCAAATTTATATAATTAACACAGATTTATCAACTAAATTCCCCATTCTAACACTAAAAGCATTTAGTGTTTTAAAATATCTTTCATAAAGCAAGATTAGAAAATGTTGATAACTATTGTTGGGAGGTAGGTTCATAGGGGTTTATTATACTATTCTCTCCACATGTTTAAAAATATCAATTTTAAAAAATATGGATAAATCTTTCAAGATTTAAACAAAGTTTCATTTTTACCCATATTCCATTGTTGTATCTCATCTGGTAAATGTATTCAGAAGTACTAATCTGAATAATTAATAACATTCTTCACAGACTATTCAATAATATCCAGGGGAGCAAATGTTAGCACACTTACCACGACCAAAAACATTAACATCTATGCTTGTATACTTCAAATACTCAAATGTGCAATATACATACCAATTTCAACTTTTTAAATTTGGGTAAACTCCACTTAAGAATATATCAGGGCTCAAAACAACTCATTCTAAACTGGAATCGGAACTCAGTGAGGTGCCGGCAGGTAACAGAACCCGGAGTAAAGAGAGAAGAACAGTGAGAGGTCAAGGAGCCCAAGTGTGAAGTTTGGTGACAAACATAATCAAAAGTTCTGCTGGAGTTAGATTCTGGAGTTAGGATTTTCCATAAGTAGATTCTGAATCCAAAGACGGGTGGGATCACAAGACAGACCAAAGGTCGAGACAAAGAAGGTTAAGAAGCACACGGGCCACAGCCTGGCCAGAGGCAGACTGAATCCTATTTCTCTCTCCTTTCAGGGGAATCACTGATCACCGTGCTATCAGCATTTACGGTCAGTTTGGTCCATGAGCCAGAAACATCTGCATCACCTGGGAGCTTGTTAGAAATGCAGAATCTCAGGCCTACTGAATCAGAAATCTGTATTTTAACAAGATTTCCAGGCAAGTGGTATGCACATTTGAGTTTCAGATACAATGGCGAGATGAAAGGTAGAAAGGCAAGTCAACCCCATCGGATGTAAAACCCAAGTAAGGTCAGGAAGCAATCTATGTGTTATCTGGCTTACTTGGGGACATACAAGCTGCTTGTTAGGGTTATGGTGTGCCTCACAGACATCAGAGCACTAATTAAAGACAAACAAAACTGTAAACTAGCCAGCAAATAACTTTGGAAATAGATCCTTATTCCGGCACTGTCTAACTAATGGATGAC